GATCCTTTAAAACGTCACCTATGGCGAAGGCAAGATATCCGTCTATCAATAAACGGACGAGTATACTGCGCAGCAGTTCGTACTGTTCTACTTTACGGATGCGAAATGTGGCCATTACGGAGTAGAAGATACTCGTAAGCCACTAGTATTCTAGCACAGGTGCCTTAGAAATATTGAAAGCACCTGCTGGAATCACCGGATAAGTAATAGTTAGGCTAGACGCAGGGTATCAGTGCATGATGGTAAATCAGTTGATGAGGTTGTGAATCAACATCGACTGAGATGATTGAGCCACGTGTTACGTATGCCCAAACACCGATTAACACAGAGCCCAATGCTGACTATTGTTGGAGACGGTTGGAAGAAAGTTAGGGGCGGCCAAACCAAAACATGGCATCAGTGCTTGAAGTCACTAACTTCTAGTCTGAGCCATGTTGGTAGATGCAGACTACGTGGTTGGGGTCCGCGTGACTATCGTAACCAATGGTTGGACACTCTTGGTGACATGGCTCAGAATCGATCACAATGGCGTCGGTGTATACACTCTCTTCCTTCCCTTAAACCGTGAGATTAAAATCGTCTCATATCTTTCTACGAACTAATTTTCCCTTCCTGTACTATGTCCTTATTGCAATCTTTCTTTTATATATTACCACCTCTGAATCCAGTGTTCATCTTGTTGTGCTAACGAGGAATGGCGCATAACTGAGCACGTGATTAAAATACTCATTCAGAAGTAAAGAGGTAAAACAATTCTATTTATTGTGGGTGCGATCACAATGTAAATATAGGTATATTTACTTAATAGATGATATGACAAAGTACTTGTTGCTTACCAGTAGTTCTAACAAAAATATTTGGAGAGAGAAGAACTATAATCGTACTATTACAAAAATATAGGTTTGGAAGTGTTTCAGGTAAAATTGTAGGTCTTACTTAAAATGAAATGAAGATCGGTCATTTCTTTTCTTCAACGATGGTTTACCTCAGTGAATATATTCAAAAAATGAAAATTGTTAAGCAAATTGTTTTTATTAAATAAATGATGGTGACTAATTTTTTAAAGGATATTTTTGTGTTTAGTATGGAAACTTGAAATCAAAAGCTCCTCAACGCGTTTTCGTGCCTGTGCATAATGCAGAAGTACCACTTGGAGACGTTAATCATCGTACCCGTATACTGTTTCTGCTTGTAAAGTTTTATTCATTAAACTTTTATATATTCAGAGATAGAACTTAGAACTACTAATCCGGATGCTCGCACGCGAATGTCATGTCATCTGTGAACACTTCTTAAGCACGTCAGAGTTTTAAACAAATGAAGGTATAAAATTTAAAGCATTTTTCGAATTTGTTTCGTTCTTTCGTATCTGCAACGACGTACATAAATAAGTTGTCTCGAAATTAGATGAACTCAGGTTGTAGATGAATTGATAAAGCTGAATAAAAATAATATATTTGTAATATCCCAATGAGTAGAAAATTGGATTTTCTGACGTTTCGTGGCTTAGTGTAAGTCACTTCTTCAGAGAATAAATAACCAAATTAAAATTAATCCAAGTTTAAATAGTACAACGGAACAATGCAAGAATAATATTTGATCAATCAAAAAACAGGTCTGAACAAGTTGATGTCATGTCATTTCTGTCAGAAAATCCAATTTTCTACTCATTGGGATATTACAAATATATTATTTTTATTTATAACAATCAACCCAATGCTCAATTTATTCGAAATTATCAAATCAAACCTTGGTAATGACACCTATGATAAAGCTGAAGTTGAAAATAATTCGTACTATGTCACGAACTACTACTGAATCCAGTTCTACTGACTTTAATTTTACTAACTAAAATAAATCTTGCACTTTTCAGGTCCTGATTTCTAATATTTCGTCACACCAAGAATACAAATTACTGGTCCACATGTTCGAATAAGATCTATCACGCAATCTTATCTTAACGTTCTACGTACTACTCGAACAAAAAGCATATAGCTGAAAGCGTGAACGCCTACTGTTTTTCACTGCTAGACACTAATGAAGATCCTACTAAAGTTCCCAAACACTGATGTCGAGCAAACTATTCAAAATGGGTAACGATAGGCAGAATTGTCTCACAGTCAGAAACAAGTTTATTTTTATATATAGTACTGACGGAGAAATTTACTAACTTCTGTTTGACATTTCCAATCTTTAGACTATCTATCATTGCCATAAATCTGTTTAATACATAATAGGTCCTTAATAAAAAGAATTGATTATACGGCAAAACACCATAGCCATTTGGAAGACATGATCAATTAACACCCCTTACGTGATTCGTTTGTGTGAAGAAACTGTACAAACCATTGATTGTCTACCCCTTGTGGGATGGACATTCTTAACAAATAAAGACGAATATTTTAAAAAATTAGGTCCAGCTGAGAGTTCGAATTCCTCCCCCACGTTACCTCGATTAGCATAACAAATAGTTGTCGATATAATTTAATTAATGCGGTGAATACCGAAACAATGATCATTAAATTAGGACATCTCAGTCCTACAGCTTACGTACAACGAACATGGTTGACAAGAAAATCCACAGACCTAACCATCGTCTATCTTGATAAACATGATTATTCCCAAGTTTAATTGTTATTTAGATGGAACTTTCTGCTCTACTTCTCCAAACATATATTTGATATCGAATTATCTTATTTAATTACATGATAGTTCCTCAATACTGACCATTTAAAACTAGGAAGCATCTAGGAGTCGTTTCACCAGTCCATAACTCTTGTATACTGTATACATGTATCCTCATTATCTAATGACCTTTACACCACTGACCTGGGGGTTGATGTCTTGCATTTTCAATTTCATGTATTCATGGTCTGATACAACAAGAATATTTAAACGTTACTCCATATATAAATTTCAGTCTAGACTTCAGCCTGTGACGAATCACTAGAAGTTGTGAGTTGACACTACGAAGAGTAATCTTGCTTTCACTTTAACATGAATGAGGACTAAAATCAAGTCAATGGATGGGTTTGATTGATTCACTAAATATTTCTTGGTTACCTAATAATTTCCTTTCTATATGCCCTTAGACCATTAATATGAAAGGTGAGAGGTTTAATTAGTGTAACATTCTAATATATATATTCTGAATTAATGCAGACGGAACTAAAGATGAGCAGAGACAGATGGTGGTGTGCGGTGAAATCGAGGATGCGCATTCCACCCTGTTCGGGTCTCACTAGCTGTACGTTCACTCGGGACTTGAACCTAGTAACTTTCACTCCAAACAGTCGCGTTACCAACCTAGCTACTGAGTTCCGGTAGCAATTAGCTTATGCAATGTGAAGTCCAAGTCATCTTATGTTGGTACTTTGGATCCTCCTGTATTACTTCCTACCAAAAATAAGATATAGATTGCTGTTAACAAGAACTTGTCTCGTTGGAGTGGTGTATGTGGAATGGCCAGTCTTCATTTAGACCCCGAAATGTGCTGAATACCAGTTTAATGTAGATCCGGGTGACTGTGAAACAAACAATTTGATGCCAGAGAAACTTTGCAAACGATCCGCCATAAGATGTTCAATCTTTGAGGACTTTAGTGCACCCATAGAGGAATGAACAAAGCCATTCAAATCATGTGTATAATTGCTCTCGAACAACACCTAAATGAAAGCGTAATCAAGATTCAGCGTCATCAGCATACGACCATACATTATCTTACCATAAAGTAGATATTCTAGCCCATGATAAAACGCCACCTCAGCTATAAGACAACTAAGCGGAGATACCCACCACCTAAACTGTCACCAAAAATAATTGGTCTGCCCCAGTTAGATGAAACATCTCGAAAGCGAATATTGAGAATATCATGTCTCGAGCAAATTTATCTGCGGTGACAAATCCCCTCGAATAAGATTTGACTGATATTTCAATGACTATTGAGTCACCTGGTAGTTCTTACAGATGGACCAAACCAAGAAAGGGCAATGTCAAGTCCCCCAATGAACATGTACCTTGGTGTGCTGAACTTGCGTTTACATAGTTTGTAGGATTTTGACATCATATCCAGGCTGGTGTCTAGTCTACTGATTCAGTGAACTTATATTTGATTTTGTACAACACAACTTTTTGGGACGTGTTCATATCATTACTGCTTAAAGATCATAGCCGTTATAATTTGCTACACAATCCTAGCGAATCCTTTTCACACAACTCCCGTCAAAACAAAGGGTTAGTTTACGTGAGCAGTTAGTCACGAGTCGGTTTGTTGCAACTTACGGTCGCAAAGCAAGGCACCACTTCAACGGTCCTCATTGGAGACTACTATTAGGAACCAAACTGAACGCTATGTGAACTCCTTCAAATAAGAGGGTCGATAGTTGGGATCCATAAATCGTATACGCACGGCACCCTGAAGTGTTTCCGAACTGCGGAAGTCTTACATAATTCAACCTCGGGACAACGGCAAGTACGGGAGGCGGTTACTCAGTTTAACAAACAAGAAACACGCAGCATTGCGTCACCAGTAACCACATTTACCCAGCTGTTCTGAGAAAACCCAATTAAACAACACTGTCAACATATTGAGTGCTGAAAAATGTTGAATGCGTGCCCGTGAGAACTTGTGACACTACGTATTCGGACTAGAGATGACAAATCCTATCCAATGGATTCAAGAACATGAGGTTTCTAAAAATCCTCTTGCATTTTAGCACAGAGGCGAAGTACTTATCACTGCGTTAGCGAACTTCATGACCAAATACATTTATTAAACCGTGCGCCGAACTGACCGAATGTCAGGATACTTAACGCAAAAATCAGGTCCAAAACTGGACTGTAAGCGACAAATCGGACGGAGTTGGTGCCAACCAGTTCGCTGCCAGTGGTAGACTGGGTGTGAATACGAATCTTGGTTCGGACACATTAGGTTATTTCGAACTGAAGTTGGGGAAATTACCAAACAAGACCAACCAAAATCGAGGAAAGAAGAAAATGAGTCCGAGCATCTGTTATATTAGATATAAGTGAATAATAAACTTGTGCAAAAGCTGCCGGGTTAGAATAAAAATCGATAAAAATGTTATAAAAAGACATAAATGCCTGGAGTGCATGGAAATGCCGAGGTTAATCACTGGCCTCTTCGTTCGACTCCTTGTCAACTGAAGGTGCATCACCCCTTTCCGATTCCGAATCGGACCCTTCATCTGATTCTAAAATTTGCGTCAATGACTATAAGCAATTACTTTCAGTTTGATGTTCACCGACATGTTCGCCGTTACTGCCGTTTACATGTTCGCCTAGGAAATGGTCACACAAACACAACACTTACTTGTTCCATTGGTGCCTTTGGTGTCTTGTGAGGCATCGTCTAAAAGTCGAAATTACAGAACTTATGAAACTAAGAAATATATATAGGTCGAAAATCAGTGTGAGTAATCAAGGGTATGGCACGAATGCCGAAGAGTAAATTAGCTTACCTTCGTTACCATCTTCGTACAACTCACCCTCGGTTGGTCTATTCTCTGGACTGTGAGCCTTTTCGTCGCCATCATTATCATCAGTCTCTACATTACGCTTTAATACCTAACAAAACAGAATGCAAACCTTTCCTTATCTTCTTGACAACTGGCTCATCGTTACCATTTTTAGCTTCATGATCTGCAACGTCTTTGGCATCCACAGACTTTCTTTTCAACTCGTCAATCTTCGACTCAACGTGAGTCTTACCATATAAAAGGAAACAATAAAACAACTTACGACTTCATCTTTGTGTGCAGCAACGGACTCCATCCTAAACAGGTTTGAGGGCGTGCACCAACGACTTCAAAAGCAAACCTAATGGCGAACCTCGCCATTGTACTCTTATACAGTAGGTTAAAACAAACTTCAGTATACAATTGCCTAAGTAAACACAGAAAAAAGATTGTTCATTATATTTCAAGTCAAATTGCGTTAATTAGTTCGTAATGCGTCGAATAATTAAAAATAATGTTTTAATGCTATCTGGATTTGAATTATGAGACTGAGTTGACTTCTTCGTTTCTGTTGTGAAGTAAATGTTGGTATTATTAGGTACTAGACCCGATCATCGCTGAAATTTTGTTGGATTAACTCATTGACACCTTCTATATGCCAAAAGTCATCAAAAACCATGGACATGAGTGAAACTCCATACAACTGGAGTACGTTACGAAAGTGTCTCACAATGACTGGGCTACGGTCTTTGTAGAGAGAAGAAAGGAGTTAGTCTATGATAAAAGTGATCGACAAGTAACGCCTGGAATAATCTTTTCCAGTTTCAACGGAACCAAAGTAGTCACTCACTGTTCTTATTGTGGATGTAGCCAAAGATTGGGTCGATATGTCTTCTGTTAGGGAGTTCCATAACTCACTGACTCGGACTGCGAAAACGTCTGTATTGACGTTTGTATGTAGTCATTTTTATTCTATTCTTGACGAATATTTTTGTAGTGAGACGTATTTGTAGTCTGTTATGATGAAGGGTTAAAAGCGGTATGACATACCATGACCTCACCCTGCAAATACAATTCTACTGCTATAACTATAGAAGTGAAGCCTGAAAGCATAATGCGTGAATCGATATCCGGATAAAATATTTAGCAAACATTGAAAGGTCTTTGATAATTGCAGTTCAAAACTGTATAACATTTGTAAAATAAAACCCGGGAGTGAGGCTTTTATGCTCTCAGAATGCTGATGGGAAGCGACCCTGAAGATAATGACGAAATTTAATGTCCTTTTTTTTCAGTTACGGAGATTGTAACGTCGGAATCTCCCAAAGATTTCCAAATGGATAAATTATATCTTATTGTTTTCACTAGCTTACCACATTTGATGACAATGTGAGGAGAGAGGTTCTGTCGGTCTGAAGTCTATCCCACTCAAGTCTCCTTGTTGGGACTTCAGGAGTTGGACTTAGTCTCTAGCTCGCTGAAGACAATGGTGTACGGTGGCGCAACTTCATGGATTGGTTGAAGTTCGACATTAACACCATTGGATGCCGGCTCAGTGGGCCAGTTGGCCAAACGCCTGGCGCTGGACTGACTTGGTCCTGAGTTCGAATCCCGCGGGTAGCGGGATCGTGGATGTGCACTCCTGAGGAGTCCCACACTACGACGAAACGGCCATCCAGTGCTTCCAAGTTTTCCATGGTGGTCTATCTTCGATTGACTCATGATTTCAATCTGTGAGACTCTGTCATACTCTGACACGTTACCTTAGCACTCGTCATGACCGTAAACAATCTCAAACTACTCGAATGAGTTCTTCACGAAAACCATCTAACTTTAGAGCACGAGAAACTGATAAATATGATTGGTGCTGGTATCATAGTCAATACGAAAAATCTCAAAGTTTCAGGAAACTGCGATTTTCCGAGCTCCAAACTGATCAACATGGAAAACGTTTCGAGAAACTCCTCAGCCGGCACGCGTCGACGGCAACCGTAGTCGGCGAAGATCGCCACATATAGTGCAAGGTACATTTATCTTAACATGGGTTTGCGCTAACTCACCCACTTCGTTGTTGCAGATGTATTTATGCTAATCACTGGCATAGACCTGCGACAACATCATAATTTACTCGTGGACAAGCGCTAAAGGTGGTTAGTAGACCAAAATACTAATTTGTCTGTTTGTGTCCCCAGGCACAGTAAAACATACGATCGATCCATCCTACTAACTAAAACTCGATAAGTACCTTGAGTTGTATCAAATGCTACCGAAATTACCAAGCGTAACCAGCAATGTTACACATCACATCACGACTACAGGAACACCTGTATTCTCAAAAGCGCGTCAGCTAGCTTCCAAACAGCTAGGGTTGGCTAAAAAGTAATTCGACCATGTGATGGACTCAGGAAAAATTCGGCCATAAAAAGGCCGATGAGCGTATCCCTTACACATGGCCCCTAAAAACGACAGCAGAGACTGATGTCCAACTGGTGATTATCGGCAAGTGAACACGAAAACCACTAGCAATCTTTATCTGTCACTGCACAGTCACCACCTGACAGCTAACTTAAAGGGTTCAACTGTTTTCTTGAAAACCAATCTGGTTTAAGAGTAAAGCCGAATTAACATGGCTACAGGCGACATCCCTGATATTACTTTCACCGCCCACTTCGGAATCCATAAATTTTTGCGCGCGCCTTTAGGTTTAAGAAGTGCTGCACAAACTATTCACCAACTCGTCGATGATTTCTTCCGAGGTCTCAATTTTGTACACTCAAGTATATATGACTGCTTGATATCAAGTCCGGAGAGAGAATCCCATCCTCAGCAACCGGGCCTTGTCCTCGAACGATTACTAAAGCACGACATTACTGTAAACACTCACATATGTTAGGTCGGGACCCACTCCCTAGATTTTGTTAGAGATTCTACTGGTACCCAAGGCATCCGGCCACTGGAAAGTAAAGTGGCGGCCATTCTGGATTACACGTAACCGACCACAATTAGGCCTAGTAAGCTTCTATAATCGGCTCATACCGAATTGCGCATCCCTTCTGAAACCTCTAACCGACCAACATCGTAAAAATGCGAAATCCATCAATTTGGACGATATCTGGAAAAAATGCATTCTCTTCAATAAAGCAAATTATCAACAAAGCAACTCTGCTCCTACACCAGAACACCAAAGCACCCATTTGTATCGCAGTAAACACATCAGACTCGACAGTCAGAGTGTTACAACAATGGATTAACCATACCTGAAAACCATTGGCATTCCTCTCGAGACGGTTGCTGCATTCCGATTCGAAGTATAACACTTTCCGCGAGAACTATCAGCCATAAATTGCTCTGTGCGACACATTCAACACTCCATTGAAGATCGTGAAATCATTTTTCCACCAATCACAAAACTCTTACCTTCACTTTAAGCTCATCGTCAGACAAACCCTCTCCTGTGCTGAAAACGGTGTCCTGATACACAAATGGCTATCTCTTCTTTCTCATCAAGCTTATTTCAGCTGATTTTTATTTTTATAGATTTTATAGGGTCATGAGCAGACTTCGTTTTTAGCAAATCGTCTCGTTTTGCTTGTAATGGGATTACTCGGTAGGAAGTGAAACCAATTCAACTTCACAAACACGATTTGAAGTGGTATTTTGCATAATAAATTAGCATCGACAGCATTGGTTCGTGACATCCCACTTGACCGTGATGAGCCGTAATTTAACAAAATGTTCTGCCCTACAGACATTAGTGTATTGAAGTTATTTCTAAAGTGTGTTGAAATTAGACATATCCAGTCGGTTTGTAAAATTACTATTCATTTCGCCGCAAGTAATATTAAACTTTGTAATTCAGATCACATTAATTTGGGCGATCCCAATGATTAGATGCTATAGTTATTTACAACTTCCAGTAATTTACTTCACAATAAAAAACAATTATATTTGCCCAGTCATGCTTTTCACGATTTTTTTGTTGACTCACAGTGCCGAATCCATCATATCGGTCGGAAAATTCCACCACAGAATCGAAGTGCAAAGAAATGCGTTCGTCTCTACAGCTCTGTCATTCTAAATGTACAGGCAAGAAATTTTAAGATTTTGAAAACAAACGTCAATTCCTTTCTAGCTCCAAAATTCAAGGACCACAAGAGGAGAGTATATAATTTTTTCAGTGCAGAATTAACAGACCGTGTGCAGAAGAAAGAATGAGGAAAAAATAAAAGGACAAGCACAAAACTATATAGTAAAAGCGCAAACACAACTATCATTTCTTAAAAGGTTTTAGAAATGTTGACATAATCTGAGCACACTTGCGGAACACTAAATGAGTTCTTAAAAAAAAAACAAGTGTGGATTCGTCCAACTGACGAGCTTAACTAATAAAACTTTAGTTACAAGCAACTCGTTAATATTAACTAAAAATAATCCATGGAGAACAATGTGGAGGTGGTAAATATCTCTTCCAGTTTTAGTGGGATTCTCAACTACTCATTGACGATAGGCGCTGTATTTTATACAATACATACTCAGCAGAAATTCCGTTTTCCAAAAAATTTTAAGCTGAGATAACCTAAGATTATAAATGAATTGATGAAGCTCAAGTCACAAATAATTTGTGCTATGTCGCAAATTAATACTGAATCCAGTTCTACTAAAATGAGTATAAAATAAAATCTTGCATATGTCAGGTTTCGATTTCCAATTTTTTCATACCGAGAATAAGAATTACTGATCCAGATCCACAATCTCAACTCAATCTCTCACGATAGGATGAGTAAGTATAGGTAATGATATGACTTCCGCGTTAGATCTAATAGATTAGGTATTTGCATCATGATTGATCGACGATTTTGGGACTAGGTCCATTTTTATGATAGCAAAGATAGATCCAACATATTCACTACTAACAGTTCCACACCAGATACTGGTATGTTGTAAGCTTTTTCAGAGTTCAGTATAGTTTACTATGGAATAGGCTGTCATCGCCTGACAGTGACTATAGCTGTACCACCAAGCCAAAATAACTTATAACCTCGTCCTACAAATTTAAGGGCATTTATCAAATATCCCCAGGACTTCCGCTCAACCCCAAAGTACATTAGCATGGATCACCCAGCATATAGGTATGTCTTAAAAAACTATCAACCGGTCATAAATATATCCCACATCTACTTTCACTTATTTGTTCACAAAAAAGTAACAAAAAACATGATCTCCCCTCAATCATCAACCATTGTGGGTCACGCCTTTACACTCCTACTCCTTCCATCGAACTCAGAGTTTTTTCAATGTTCGAAGCCCTCTTATTTTCATGTATGAAGCTGCATATGATTTTTAAGGTTTTTACTTCAAGTATCGTATGGAACTTGTATAACCCGGCTACAGTAACAAAT